TCTGTGTTGGGACATTCTTTTGAACGGTGGCTGCTTTGTTTCCCCTGATGTATAACTGGTCGCAGTCCTCCTGGCACTTAACTTAATTATCTTCAACACACTGTTTTGCTCAAAGAAACATGAGTGCGGTCTGGTTCCATTGTGTTTGGCTTTTTCTGCAGTAACGTCATGTCTAGATGCAKTACTATGGAAAAAATGTAAAACCATCCTCGACTTTGATTCCAAGAATTAGTTATTGAAAGTCATGTCTTTAGCAATAAATAAATAAATCTGAAAGATGCATAATTCTTCAGATGATCATCTATGATACGCCACTGGGACAGGATCCAAAGTGCCTGAAGACTTAAAATGCTCAACATTAACATGTCCAAGCAGGAGATACGTAAAGAAAAGTCCTTGGTGAAGTCTGCACAGCTCTGCTGACTGTGTTTCTGGTCAAAATGTTCATGTAAAGAAAAGTAGGACCATAAAACTACACTTATTACCAGGCTACACATATTGATAGGCAAATTGTGTGGCTCACAGCTTGYACTGTTTCACTTCCTCACCGGGTGCATCAGCAAATAAAAAAAGGGGGGACTTGCAACAGTGAATAACTATATACTTGTGCATTTTCCAGGTAAGAATTAGGCGCACAGGCCAACATGGGTGTGAGGTTTCAGGGTGGACAAACAACATCTGTGTCACCTGACACACTACAACAAGCCTAATGTAAACTCAGGCCAAATTACACTTGACTGCAGCAGGTTTCTGGYTCGTGGTATCAGTGGAGTAAACTGTTATGTAACAGCACAGCATCAGAACACATGCTGGATGGGAACAAAGCTGCAGCAAACACTAGGAGACCATTTTTACAGCAGTCAATTCATTGCTACACAGCTAGCTTGAAAAACATCAATAACACAGCATTTGGCTTCAAAATGTTACATAGAAAATGCAGGTTTTTTGTGTCAATAGGATAATGATAGCTTTTCTGACTTTTAAGTTACAACAACAAACCAACGTCGTAAACACGAACCAGTTAGCTAATATCAGGTGCATCGCGATGACTCACCAGCAGAAAAACATGAAGCACAAGATGCTCCGGGCACTCGCTTCAAAACAGCCGGACTCGAACAACGCTTCAGGAGGGACATCTTCCACGCTACGAGGGCTCAAATATATATGTATAAAAAAAAAGAGTGAAAACTCGGAACCAGCTCCGGAGAATCAGGGTTTGTGTGGTACTTAAAGCGGGGCGATAAACAGCTGATGCAGAACTGAGTGCTGCCGGTCGGGCTCACTGACAGAACAGAGCAGGGGGTGTTCAGCAGGGAGACCCGGAACTAAAATAACCTATCTTTATTTTAAAACAGCAGTTATAGCTTATATCACACAGAAACCAAACTTTATAGGCAAGGTAAATACTTTGTATTTTTATGGCACTGATTTAATGTGAAATTATAAACATTGTTGGAAATTTAACCCTCCACTTTTATAATTTTGGTACATTCCAGGATGTKCCATGTTTACAAACCTCTCAGCTCTCTGTCAGAGGTCTTTCTACACATGCTGCGTTTATTGCGTTGTAATTAAAACAAGGATGGGCACATTTTATTTCTAGAGGGCCAATTTGAGTAGGCAAAATGTTAAACTAAAACATGGGCACAATATTATATACTTTGTATGATTTTTAAAATTAAAACTATGCAGCTACGTTGACAAATACCATTTATATGGGCCGTGTTTATTTTCTAAAGAGTGAAAACTAAAACAGAAAGAAAAAATATATGTTTTTTTTTTAGATTTTTACAAATTTTAACATTTGAGCACCATGCTATTGAATTTTAGGCTTTTATTTAAAAAATGAATTTATAAACTGCGAAGCGGCCAGGATGAGGCTGAGTGCCTCCAAATCCGAGGCCATGGTCTTGAGCCGGAAAAGGGTAGAGTGCCTTCTCCGGGTCAGGGGGGTCGTCCTGTCTCAAGTGGAGGAGTTTAAGTATCTGGGGATCTTGTTCAAGAATGGGGGAAGAAGGGAGCGGGAGATCGACAGGCGGATTGGCGCAGCGTCTGCTGTAAAGCGGGCGCTGTACCDGTCCGTCGTGTTGAAGAGAGAGCTGAGTCAGAAAGCGAAGCTCTCGATTTACCGGTCGATCTACGTTCCTACCCTCATCTATGGTCATGAGCTTTGGGTCATGACCGAAAGAACGAGGTCCCGGATAMAAGCGGCCGAAATGGGTTTCCTCCGCAGGGTGGCTGGACTCTCCCTTAGAGATAGGGTGAGAAGCTCGGTCATCCGGGAGGGAATCAGAGTAGAGCCGCTGCTCCTCCACGTCGAGAGGAGCCAGTTGAGGTGGCTCGGGCATCTGGTAAGGATGCCTCCTGGACGCCTCCCTGGTGAGGTGTTCCGGGCACGTCCCACCGGGAGGAGGCCCCGAGGAAGACCCAGGACACGCTGGAGGGACTATGTCTCTCAGCTGGCCTGGGAACGCCTTGGAGTTCCCCCGGAGGAGCTGGAAGAAGTGGCTGGGGAGAGGGAGGTCTGGGCCTCCCTTCTGAAGCTGCTGCCCCCGYGACCCGACCCCGGATAGGCGGAAGAAAATGGATGGATGGATGGAAACGAAGAAAAAGTAATAAATCTAAGATTGCTTGATTATTGTATAGCACACTCCTCATAATCAATGTGAAAACTCGTTGAGGTTWCGTTACATGAAGTAACAAATTTTGGCACTAAGAGTACATATCAAGTCAAAACATGGATCCATAAACACATACTGTATTTAGATCACTTTAAATGGTTGAAGTATTATTACTGATTAATTTATAGCTTGACAAACCCTTTTTGCATTCACGTTTTGCTATTTTGCAAGAACTTGGATATTTCAGCCCAAAAGTAAAAAGTAACAATTAGAAACCAACAAAATAGTATGTAAAACTGTGAAAGGTATGGTCACTTTACAAAAAAAAAAAAAAAAAAAAAAATTAAAGTAGTTTTTAAGAATGATTTTTAATACTGAAAAACAAAAGCATTCAGCACATTTCTTCTGGTAAACAGTTCACCGACAAAATTTACCATGAATCTACTTAAAATAGATTATTTTCCCAACTATTTACATATTAATTGAAGGACATAGAAATTAAAATTGTTTCATTACCTRCTAGTACTTACTGTTCAAAAACAGGAAGTTTTAGCATGTTTAGCATCAAGGGGGAAAAACTTGTAATTGACAAACGCAGTGATCTGAATGTTATGCATTACATCTTATATAATAAGTCTTGATTAAAGCTTGTTTGGTTATATAATGACGTCATACGTATTCAAATCAGAAAGCAGAACTTGCAGCTCTGAGCTTGCAGCTGTAGATGGAGCCACTGCAGTTGTTAACATTTATATCCATCCTTCTACCACAAACGTCACAGTTCAAGGAATCAAACAGAGCTGGTGATGAAACAAAATGCTTTTTTTTAACAATTGACCTGCACATATAGGCATCTTAAATTCTCCTCTAAAATAACAAAACAGAGTAGCAGTATCCTTWATAATGTGAATTAAACATAACTTTGAACAGTTTTGAAACAAGAAAGCTTTSTTTTGTTTGTTTGTTTGCATTTCAACATTTTTTACTTGATCTTTGAACTGAGAACAAGTGAAGATGCACAAAATACATTTCTTGTTCTGCAACACATTGTTTCTGTTTGTTTCAGGGAAGACTAACTGCGAGACATGCAAATATTTGGGCACCCTCCAACTGTTTGTTTTGTTGGGAGAGGCAACATTTTTCAAAAGACGAGGTGTGTCTGGTGTTAACATTTCAAACTGACTTTTACATCACTTTCAGAATGCAAGATTTCCTAAAGAAACATGCAAAGAAGCACCTGTTGCTATTTTTGTTGTTATGCCTGAGTTTGCATTTCTTGGTGAAGTTTTTTCTCTCATAACAAATTACTTTTACTACAGTTTTTCTTAAAGACTGTGCAGGTTTAACTTTTAGTTGTTCCACATATTCCTATTACTTTGTGAAAGCTTACTTGGTGTAAAGMGGTGTAACCAGGTGTAATCTACACTTCCTTAAGAGATTGTGTGACATATTCTAAYAACTATAGTATGTATACACTGCGCACACAAAATAATCCCGTTTCTGAGAAGCCAAAACAAAAGGGAGTGGAAAAAGCAGTGGGTTGATTGTGTCCTCCTTGTTTGTCAGTGATGGAAATATCCCAGAATCTTCAGACCAGACCTCCTGCTGTGACATAATTACACAATMTGTCTGCTAATCTGTGTCCATCTGGATGTAAGGTTCTTGTATATGTTGCACGTTTAATTCCTTAAATGTCAATCAGATTTGGGTGATTGATAAATGCTCATTTTGACACAGATCTAACTAATTTACCTGTTTTTGACCTGYGAACTTTTTATAGCAAGACGATGGATCTTGTAATCTCGTATGCCAGGGATCACAAAACTGTGTCAAATAAATGACTTTTGAAGCTGTGTGCAGCTTCTCTTTTTATGTCACGTTTCTTTCTTATCTTCCACATGCACTGTTCATACTAATAAAGTTTGGTGACCTATTTTGCTCCTGGCACCAAGACTTTCATGTGCAGCCCTCATCATTTCAAATTTTGTCCATAAATAGATTTGAGGCTCCTTCTCTTTGGTAGGAAAGTGGCAGGCAAAATACTACAAAGTTACAGAGAATACTGATTTAAAACACAAAAAAAAAAAAACTGCTATAAAGTTTAAGAAATATTTCTCACTAATGTTTTTCCTAGTTCTTTTTATAGTTCTATTTATTTTCTTTCCTCCAAAAATAACAAAAAAGATACAAATTATTATAAATAAAATAAATCCAATGGTAAAACCATTGAGCCRTTCTACAGTTTATTCATCCAAAATGAATCATTTAAATCTACAGATGTGTTTTACAAACAGCTTCCTATGAATATACAAAACATTACACTTAATCAAAGTATATGGAAGTAAGATTAGTCTTTTTGGTTGCTCAACTATCTGTCCCCACATGAATACTGAACTCTTTTACTCACACAGCTGATAAATCTGGATGAATTATATCAAGAAATGTGAGTGTTTATACTAGAGTGTTTCCATTGTATTGGAACTAATTTCTTGGTAGCTTTGAGACTGATTTTCTTTATTTGATGYAGTGGGACATAGAGATGTAAGAAGTCATTCAACAACAACATTTACAGATATGAAGATAATTTTTTTGATAATAGAGATGAGATTAAAAACAGGCGACTGGTGGCCGTTCCCCAAAAATATGCATGTTCCTGAGTTTAGAGAGCTAAATGCACATCAAGGTTCTGGTACGATCCCCATAAAAAAGCAAATCCTGTTTTGCTGGTTCTTGAACTGCAGGAATTATAAAAATGCTGGCCTGAGGTGATGCTGCAGAAACCTTGTTCTGTTACTTCAGACAGATGGTAATCCTTGGCTATTTGTGCTCTCTGATGATTTCTAGGTAGTTTCCTGGTAAATAAGGATTTGTTTGCATGTTGCATATTTACTGTTAACAATGGGCCTGATCCCTTTACCTCACCTCTAGGAACTGGCTCAGGATAAATGAACTTGTTCAGCCTCATTTAAACAAAGCTACAATGCTGCTGACATTCTATCAGTCTTTCACCTACAAAGTTGTGAATTCACACACATTTTATAGATAATCAGTGTGTGCTTTGACATGTTAAATGCAATTAATAGTTTCAATGCATGACTGGAAAATGAAAAGTTGAAGCCCTGAGTAAAAACATCCTCTTGCAAATATACAGAAACTGCACTTTTTCAACAAAAGCGAAAACGTTTCACTGATTTAATTAGCCTAATTGCAATGTTTGCATAATTTAATCACAAGTTTCTGCTGATACAGTTGTGAGTCAGAAGCAAAGTGTTATGGTTTACAAAATTGTTCAACAGTCAGCGAAGCTAAGAACCAGACCAGGAGACAGAAATAAAAGGTAAGTGCTTTTTATTTACTGGTGCAGGATAACGGGTCATCAGCTGTAAGGGAATGAGGAGATGAGGTGAGTACTTTGAAGGGTTTTATTCTTTCAGAGATGATTGAATATAAATTAAAGTTTTTCCTTTTCTTACAGGTCTTCTGGAGGCGAGCAGCAGAGAACGGAGGAGGAATCCAAAACACAGGTAAGCTCCTTTTTAGGCAGCGTGGCATAAACATGAAGAGGTGTTYGAGGCGTTTGGCTTTGGCAGGAGGTAAAGATTGTCAAACCTGA